TGCACGCACGTGCATACGTGAGCATGTTGACCATACCTTCTTGTAGAAGTCCATTACATCTGTCTATGTTCTAAATTCCACCCCGTTTGGGTGAAAACTAAGAGAGTTTCAGCCAATCAATTGCAGCACATACACACACGTGTATGCATGTGCATTGTGACCACACCTACTTGTAGAAGTCCATTATATCTATCTATGTTCCAAATCCCATCCTCTTTGTTTGAAAACCAAGGGAGATATAGCTGTTTAAAGTTTCAGCCAATCAGATTGCAGCGCACGTGCATGCAATGATAATTTTTATTTCATGTTGTACCTAATACGGCTATGTAAAATTTCATTTCGTCATGAAACTTTAGAGAATCAGAGCGAAGTGCACGTGCAAGATATGTCTTCATGTCTATACATATATCCTCACATATTTTCAAAACATTTCATCTAAAAATAGAACAGTATATCTATTATATTGGTCATTTCACGTGTTGCACGTGCACGCTCTTGCAAAAAAATGACATTCCGCAAATCTACATAACATGTCTACTATTCCTAAAAAGGTTTTACCTACATCGGACGAACAGTTTACAAGATCATTCCCGGACAAAAAAGTTCCAGGAAGAAGAAGAAGAAAAATAATAATAATAATAATAATAAGAAACAGAGTAAAAACAATATGTTCCCCAACTTCGTTTGGGGAACATAAATATTACCGGTTGTAGACATTTGAAGAACAAGATAAATACATTCGTATTTAAAATCACATTTAAAAAATCACAAAGAAAACATCCTTCAATTAAAAAAATAACCCAGAGAATTGATGAGACGTCGGACATTATGCAATTGGACTTGGAACTACAAAAATAAGATTAAATTTAAATAAGATGAAACATATGGAGATAACAGACAGTATACAAGATCAAAAATCCATAAACAGTACAAAGTGGGAGCAGAGCAAACATGGAACTACAAATTATTAGAGGTGGGATCTGGTGCCATGCACCCCTGGCCTACGGGTCACACCAGCCGTGTGCTTCTTGTCATGATCATGAAATAACGGAAAAATCCGTCGTCAATTCAGTGTATAAATAATGGACTTACCGTTAGCATGAAAAATGTCAGTCAACATTTGACTCAATAGGGATACAAATTAAGAATGTATCAATTGATAAGGTTTGGGATTTGTTTTTTTTTTATTCCCCTGCCCTTTTAACTTGGACAGGGGCTAAGGGGTTCAGCATCCATAGCAGACTTTATACTTTGTAAATAAAGATTATAAGATAAGGCAAATAAATCAAAATAAAATATAACATACCTGAACGGTATATAGACTTTACAAATTCCAAGAATTTGTAAAGTCTATATACCTTTCAGCTATACATGAGAACATCTATTCTGAAATCTAAAATCCTAAGTGTATTTTATATCTAATAACAGCCAGCGATATTACTCATTTTTTCATGTTTCTGATGTACTGGAGTCATTTCTTGATTATTTAACCTCGGCTGACAGCAATCATGATGCAGGTAGGTAAACAGATACCAGACTCACTTGAAACATTAACTGTATGTTCCACTTCAAACATCTTCTAATAAAAAATGGGTGTGTAGATTTTTAAAGACATTCTTAAATTGAAAAAAAAAAACCAAGGAAACTGCATTTGGTTGCCAAAGAATAATATATTAGGACACCAATTATCCACCCCCTACAGAAATTGCATTTCTCTTCAGCAACTGTTTCATGTAGATGGACATATATCCGTCAATGTCAATTGAAAAGAAAAATACATGGCAGTTTGTGATATTGTACTTACTCAGTGCACATACCGGTATATAGTAATCATGTTGAATTATATTGGAATAATAATATTATAAGGAAAATCATTGAAATTATCTTGCTTAAAATCAAGGTTTGTGGTAAAGTTTAAAATAATGCAATTTTTTAATGTATTTTAGGTTAAATTGATTAATGAGAGTAGGAACTCTAGATTGTTTCTTGAGTAACACGGATCCATAAACAAATTTGCTCTATTTTTTTCTGTGTCTGAATTATTCTCTGACATAATGGTTAATCGAACTTTTTATCAGAAACAGAAAGAAAGTCACTTTTTAAGTTGTCCAACTTTCTGAAGTTTTCTAGATTACGTCTGCATATCTCACTAAGAACAGATATATAGATAGATATCTTAACGTACCAAGGTATTTTTTGTAGGTTGCAGGTAATTAGCATTCAAGATACAAATACTTTGGAATGAGGATTTTTTAAAATCATAGTTTCTGTGACACGTGTTATTGATATATTAAGGTGATAACACTCACGAGGGCTGCTTAAACTGTGAGTTATTTCACATTCCTTGATTGCTTGAGAGGTGATAAAGATACGAAAACAAAACAAAAATTCAAAGGCATTATTTATACTGAGACATAGGTATCAAACTTGACTATCAAGGTTCATTATGAAGCTAATTTATCATTTCTTTCTGACTTACAGTGAAAAATATACTTCTATGAGAATGTATTTTAAAGTAGAATGTAGTTCAAGACATTCATCAAAACATTTGCAAAGCCCTTTTATCAGAAAACAGGGAAAGGAATTAAAAATATGAACTAAAAGATTTTAAGATATTGTGAACAAAAAGATTATTTGTTCTTGTAACTCTAAGAAAAATCGTGTGATCCTGCCTTCAAGACGCATTTATACATAATAAATGATCTGCTTGTTTCCTTGATTTATTCTTGAAGAATTACAATGTAAGTGCTTGTTCTTGTGAGTAAAAGTTTTTATCGAAACAGCTGTAATATTTTCCTGTCTTTTCTTAAAATCCAAAATTCCTCCCCAAAACGACTATCATAGAAAGCAATTCACAATCTGAGCAAATATGATGTAATACCTTGGTTTGTGCAGGGTTAAAAAATTAATTCCATTACAATACCAAGAGATTAATCACCAAGAGATAATTATATTAAATTAATCATTAGTATTGACCCAGTACAAGCAATGTGGATGGTATCATCTTATTGGCTTTTCGTTGTACCAGTAATGTTTTCAATTTTCATTTTTTAAAAATAAGCTTAACCGATGGAAAAAGAGACAGTGCATTCTGACTTGGTTGAATCCATGATGACGTGATCATGAGAGTTAATTTTTCAGTTTTAATTAGATTTCATTTTTTTAAAGATTTAAATTAGCCCTTTTAAATAAATAAAAATAACAATACAGGAATTGAAGCTAAATCCTGCCATTCTTTGATGCTAATTATTGTACAACAGGTTCTCAAATAATGATGCCGTAAATTGCAGAGTAAACGAGAGTTAAGTAAAACAGGATGCAAACAAATATGTGTATTGACAGTAAAGCAGCATATACTGTGAATACCATTCGTGATTCTAGGGAATTAAAGTATCAGATTTGCTGATTTATTTTCACCAATTATTTCTTTGAATGAAAACAAACAGTCTTGTTCAATTCTCGGTCAGCCAATCCTCTTCCATTCTTGACAACAAAGATGCGAAAATTCAAAACTATGTAGCATTCTTTGAAATCTAATGTTTACCTAGATCGACAGCTAATGTTAAAAAAAAATAAGAACTGTTGCCTGAATATGTGTTAAACACAATTCGGTGAAAATTCTTCGATAAAACAAACAAATTGAATGTGTAATTCTTCTGCAGATTGCAAAAGAAATGTGGGGTATTTCTTTCGTTTGATAAAACAGTACAATATAAGTTTTTTAATGACACACACGAAGATGTCGTGTTAGAATATTTCTTACAAATTACAATTAATTTATAATAATTATAAGCTATATTCTGTATAATCTCTTGGACGGTCTGGTTATTCATCAAAGTTACAATTTCCAACAAATCAGTATGTTTCCGAAAAAAAAATTATCTTGTTGTTGCCTTTACTTACAATCATTAAATCTAGGAATTCCTGTAGTCTTTATTACTACAAGAAGAAACAAGAGGCCAATGAAACACAATGTTCACCAGAGGAACAATGCCCTGCTTTTACTTTACTACATATAAGTAAGACTGCGATTATATACTATGGTCCCACTCTACCCTTGGATAATGACATAAGTAAACGCTAGTCTACCTTATAAATACACGTATTGCTGTTTTTTTTTTCAAGGAAAAGGTTAATTGGATTTTGCTATACATGTCTATACCCCCTTTAAGAATATGAAAGGACTTGACTGTTTTTAATAATTTTGAAATTGAAGAACTAAATACAATACCAGGTGATTGTTGACAAAGAACTATATGCGGTATATTGCATATATTTGCCCCCAAAAAAGTCAAATTTTAAAAACTTCCTTCTCATCAATAAATTGTATGAGAAATATAAATTAACAGAAAATATTATAGTGTCAAAGCAGTGTATTCACAATTTTTGTTTTTATGACGTCACAAACTAGTCCGATTTTATATCCTTTTTCAGAAAGAGGACAAAATGGACAAAATTTCAACAATTTTAGCTTTAAAATTTATAGAACGCAAGTTTGTTCAGGAACAATATTGACATATTTCCTTGATATTATCATTTTACACATTATATCAAAATATTGATCCTGAACTCACATGCGCTCGGTGACTTTTACTCAAAATATCGACGAAATATATACATTTTTCTGTAAAATTCATAAAAAACTTAAATTTACGTCATGTTTGTGACGTCATTACGTATATATGACGTCATTACTTATGAAAATATTCAGTGCTTCGAAGTCAGCATATACTCCCCTGTTAAAGAACTTAATTAAATATATCTCCATCAAAGTTTGATTTGGGGGGCAAATATTGGTTAATACCGAATAAAGTTCTTTGTATCGTTGAAGTTATCTGGATTTAAGTAAAATTTCTAGTTTTAATCTAAGAATAAGATGAAAATTTTTTTTCAAAAAAAGGAAGGACATATATATTTCAAAGTTTCAATGGTAATTTTAATGGTGAGCATGTTTTTGTATACAGAGAAAACGTTGAAACTCAATTCAAAACAGAACTTACCTTTGCATATCCTTGTAACAACTACAGTGTGTATACACAGAGCACAGTGGTTAATTTCTCATAAGCTTCGTGGATGCTTCTTGTAGTACAGGATGAAAGTGTCATAAACCAAATGCAGAACAAAAAACAAGACCTGCTTCCAATGTTTCAGATAAATGCAACTGATTATCAGGCGTGGGAGATGATTCGTGCATTAGGGTGACAGTGAGGCCTGAATGCTGTGTGTTATTTTGGAGAAATGGTTGACTTAGTTTTTATGAAAAAAAAAATTATCTATTATAATGAAAGTTTATATTATGAAAATATTTATTAGCATTTCTCCGAACAAATAAATGTGCATACTCAACCCAATGTCGTATTCCATGCAGAGTGTACAGTGTATGATAGCTGCCAAAAAAAAAAAATTTCTTTTTAAATTAAGTTTTTGATTTTTTTTTTCAAATTAGAATGGTTTTATTTAAATTATAATTTCCAATTTTAAAGAAGAAAATAACATTCAAATTAAATCTAGTATGTGTTGTGAACTATTTATATAAAAAATTCCATTCATTAAAGGATACGGTAAAGTATATTTTAAATGTGATGCAGAACTAATCGATCATTAAAACATAGGTAATCAGAGATTACAGAGCTCACCTCAATGAATGTTGTCTTTAAGTAAGGCAAATTAAGTCACACAATTAACCAACAAAAAGTGTACATCCAAAAATGCAAAATTTATGCAATTTTGATACTTTGGAATAGACCTATATAAAAACTTAAAACTAGTTCTTCATCATGAAAATGTAATTAAAATCCAGCATCTGAAGCAAGATTGAGAGTTTTCATCCCTTGATGCATCATTTGTGCAACTTTGGTTTATATAAGCCTTATAGTTTCTTGGTGATAGACCTGCACCCATAAATTTTACGAGGTCTATTATCTGGAAAATGTATGTCGAATTCAGCATCTGAAGCAAGTCCATTAGTGTGCATCCTAAGATGTATCATCCATGCAGATTTGTTCAACATAGAGCTCAAAGTTACTTGGAAATGAAACCTGTATAAAAAACTAACCTTTTCACTAATCCGGAAAATGTAGGTCAGATTCAGCTTCTGAAGCCAACCTAGTAGAATGCACCCTTAGATGTACCATCCATGCAAGTTTGGTCATTATAGGGCTCAAAGTTACTTGGAAATGAATCCTGCACCACAAACATTAACCTGTTTACTCGTCCAGAAAATGTAGGTCAGATTCAGCATCCGAAGCAAGTCTGGTAGTATGCATCCTAAGATGTACCATCCAGGCAAGTTTAGTCATGATAGGGTTCATAGTAACCTTGGAAATGAAACCTGCACCAAAAATTTTAACCTGTTCACTCAACCGGAAAATGTAGGTCAGATTCAGCATCCGAAGCAAGTCTTGTAATATGCATCCTAAGATGTACCATCCAGGCAAGTTTGGTCATTATATGTCTCATAGTACCTTGGAAATGAAACCTGCACCAAAAACTTTAACCTGTTCACTCAACCAGAAAATGTAGGTCAGATTCAGCATCTGAAGCAAGACTGGTTTAAGTATGCATCCTAAGATGTACCATCCATGCAAGTTTGGTCATTATATGTCTCATAGAAACTTGAATATGAAACCTGCACCAAAAACTTTATCCTGTTCACTTAACCGGAAAATGTAGGTCAGATTCAGCATCCGAAGCAAGTCTAGTAGAATGCATCCTAAGATGTACCATCCATGCAAGTTTGGTCATTATAGGGCTCATAGTATCTTCGAAATGAAACCTGCACCAAAAACTTTAATCTGTTCACTCAACCGGAAAATGTAGGTCAGATTCAGCATCCGAAGCAAGTCTGGTAGTATGCATCCTAAGATGCACCATCCATGTAAGTTTGGTCAACATAGGGCTTATACATGTAGTTACTCGGAAATGAGACCTACACCAAAAACTGCACCAAAAATGTTAACCTGCACCAAAAACATCAACCTTGTCATTCCTTTGCTGAAATTGCAGCAACTGAAACTTTGACTGGTACAATGAAACACATTAGAAACATCTTCCATGCATGTCTAATCAATATAGGACATAGAAGTACTTAAAAAGAAAACTGCTCCAAAAAACTTAACCTTAACCCGGGACGCCGACGCCGACGCCGACACCGACACCGACGCTGACACCGACGCCGACGCCGAGGGTATCACATAAGCTCCCCCCAACTTCGTTGAGGTGAGCTAAAAACAAAATTAAATTTCACATTGTGATTATATGGCTTATTGTTACAATTTCTATGACTGTGCTTGCTTCTTAGTACACTTAAAAGTCAAATGTTTTCATTGGCATACTATCAAAATAGTTTTGAACAAATTTTAACAATATGGAAGTTGTCAATCTTTTCCTTGTCTACAGAATGGATTGATCGAATAAGTTGCTTTTTTTTCCGTGGTATATCCCCCGCCCCCAAAAAATTCTTAACCTAATAGAAAAATGGATTGGTTGGGGAAATGGAATTATTTATAAAGATGGACTTCTATTTATTTAGAATCTACCAAGTACGAAAATACATCACCCTAGAAGCATGGTCAAGTGGTTGAAGTCTGCTTTAGAGTCACAGAGGTAGAAGTTAATCCTAACGTTGCAGGATCAAAACCAGGATATGACCTGGAAAATGGTCCTTTGGATAAAAACAAAGTTCCTCCTTGAAACTGCCTAACTTATTAAAGACCTTAAGTGCTGACTACAGGTCTATCTTTGCAACACTTAAATGGCAACCAACGACAATTCAGTATGGATGAAATTTCGCGAGACTACAGGGCTCTGTTCATCTGGCCTTGTGATTCATTCATAAGTATCACATAAAAAGGAAAGAAATGATATCATCACCTCGTGCACACTAAAACAAGAGTCCCTTTAAAACGAAATGGATATATTCAAGGGAATAATTGTTCATTTAAAGATATCGATTAGTTGTTTTTCTTCCAACATTGACAGATCACGGTAGCCTAGTGGTAGAGCGCCGTGCACTTCGTGATCGGGAGGCCCGGGTTGATTTCTCGTTCGCAGCGCCGCGTCAAACCTAAGACGTAAACATAGGTAGTGACTGTTCCTTCGCCAAGCGCTCGGCAGTAGAAGTGAAAGTCACGGGTCTTTCGGATATGACCTTAAAAAACGTAGGTCCCGTGTCAGGCGTTGGCACGGTAGGCGTTGACACGATAAAGAACCCTCACTGCTCAATGGCCCTGAGTGCCGAGTGTAGGTCTAAATTTGAAACCCTTCACCGGCATAGGGTGACGGCTCCATATGAGTGAAAAATTCTCGAGAGGAACGTTAAACAACATACAATCAATCAGTCAATCAATCATTGATTCATAAAAATTAAGTAATGAATCGAGAAATTAAATGTAACATATCTCAGTACATTTTATTTGCTCATAATGAAATGAAAATCATTCGTTCAGCTATTTTCATTTGATAACTTTAACAATATTATTAAGTGTCGGGCAATGATACATCCTCCTACTTAATTTCAATATCAGCGTATGTAAGTGAGAAAAAAATAACTGCGTATGACTTCTTTTCCAATCAGATAAGATAGTTAATGAGGGTAAATGAAAGTTCATCATGAAAGTTGAACGAACCCAAGGTTAGCTTCACATGTGCAAAAACAAACGTCTCCACTTACCACAGATAAAATGTTGTTTTATTCGATATTCTTGTGATGTATATTCAAAATCTTGTTATGTATATTCAAAATCTTGTGATGTATGTTGAAAGTCTTGTGTGGTATGTATGGGCAGCGGAAAGGGCAAAAATTACCATAATGAGAAAACAAACAATTATTTTAATTTCAATGATCATAAAAACTTAACAAATGATATACAATGCATAATCAACAGACCTTTTCGCTGAACAAGTATACATTAAAGCATAACCAACGAACAAGTACATAATAAACATATATGAATGCAAAACCAACGATCATCTTTGCAGTACAAACGTACATAAAAACACGACAAACGAAAAAAACTTAACCAACGTAAATCTAGTCTTCCCGACTCCCGACGGTATCGGGTTTTTTTTTTAATTTCGTTTTTGTCAGTGCACAGAAACTCTTCAAACTTCTCAGGCACATTTTCTTTTTAAATGAATTCAATAATATGTAAAAACTTAAACAAAGTTGCGTATTTATTACTGAATCAGCAGTATCACCTTCAAAAAAAGTAAATGTAGTACTCCGTTATAAATATGAAAACCAAAAACGGACATCGATACAGAGAGACGTAAGTGTCGTAGATAGTAAAGGTGCATGGACACAGATTTGAAGTTAATATTTTCTGTATAATATTACGACTTATATATTTTAATAGAATTTCACACAAAAAATTTATTAAAAATCTTATTTCATCTCAAAGTTATTAAAACTTCAAATTTTTAGACGGGTTTGATTGACACATCCTTGCACTCTCAAAAATTTTAATTTTATTTTTAATACTTAGGAAAAGTGGCAATCTTGTTTCAATAACTTTAAGACGAAATAAATTAACTTCAAATCTGTATCCATGTATCTTTAAAGATATTTAAGGTATTGCTATTGAGAAGATTTCTTCTCAAAAAGATTGAATTAGTATCTCAGTGAAAATTGGTGGTGTTAATATTAAAAATGAACAATTAAATTCTATAAAAATTCATAACATCAAAATGATTTGATTTTAAAAAAGATTTTTATCAAAATCTTCATAAAAGTAGCTAAATCTAACATTTTTTTCTTGCGGTAAAATAATGCAAAATGAAAGTACTGCATTGTTATACATTATTGGTCATATAATAACATGAATAATATAAACCTGTTGCTATATGTGTATTAATTAACCTTGTACCTATGGAGAGGGCTTATATAGGCTATGCCTGCTCCCCAATCCATTTATGTTTTTGGATAATAAAATATGTTCAAATCAAATACATTGACGTAGCATCGTTTTTAAAAGGAGGGGGTAACCAAAGAAAAATATTTCAATCTAGCTGAAAAAAAAGATTTTAAAAACTTAACAAGCAAAAGCAAAAAGGAAATTTAAATGGGGAAAACCAACTTATGTAACAACAACGAAAAAAAAATGACAAAACGGCCTTCAGGAGAATGAGATATTTTTCTACATTTTATGTAAATTCTTTTCTTTCATTTTAAATTTTTAAGATAAATTAACCCCCCCCCCCCAAAAAAAAGGAAAAAATAAAGGGGGATCCGAGGTAGAACCACGTC